GGGGAGGAAAGTGAAAATATAAAAAAGATAAAGACATATATATATATATATATATATATAAGGCTATCAAGGCGTTAATATCATTGAAATTTGAAAGAAAAGCACTTCCTAATATGCCTCGAGTCCTCTCAACAAAGGGGATTGTACAGGGCCACAGGCACTTGGTTATGCCACACAATAAAATTTTTAGAGTTATATATAATAATACAAAGGTTGTTTTTTAAAATATTAATTTTTTAATTTAATTGTTAAAAATAATTAATGATTCATAATAATATAATAATTAATATTTATTATTTAATAAATTAAAATTAATCTATATATTAATTTTTTAAAATATTATAATTAAATATTTATAAAAATATCAAATAAAATTTATCAATCTTAACACTTTGAGAGCGTCGGCTTAACTAACTGCTATTTGTCTAGTAAGCAACATTCAGTCAGTCTAATCATTACTGGAAGAATGGAATATTTCCTAAAGAAAACCCATCACAATTACCCTTAGAAAATCTAATCGGGATTAGCTCTGTAAACTATAACAACACTTTTGAAAAACCAGACAAAAACTTTATCCAAAGTATGGCCTTTTTTTAATGAAAAGGGACGACCCAGAAATTTCCTTAAAAGTACAAAAAGTACTCGATTCTTCTAAATTATCGTTGCTTATGATTTTCTAGGTAACATAACAATGATGAAATTTTTCCATAATGTTATGATAAGAGAATTTTTATTGTTTAATATAATTATTTTTAATAATTAATTAATTTAAAATATAAAAATTAATTTTAATTTTACCAATTATGTATGTCCCTCTCAAATTATTATTGTTGCTTTAATTAAATTAATATTTCCTTATCTTATGCGCCTGCGCGTTATAGAAAATCCTTGAATAAAACAAAGAAAAGCAAAAAAAATTCTCGGAATGGTGCTGTAGCCTGTAGGTCCACCGCCCACGTGTCGGGTTCGTAGTGGTGAAAGCGGACGGAAAGCACTATTTGTTGAACACAAGTAATTTATTATAAGTAAAAAACAAAGGCAACTAGGGGAGGGGATATGGGGAAGAAATTGATGGCGCTGAAACACAGTTAGTTTATTAAGTGAATTCTTGGTCGTCGGTAGCTACGTCGCCGTACCTAAACGTAGATTTCGGACGAAATGGACTTTGAATGAAGATAGAGTTTGGGTCCATTTGCTAGTCTGGACCTTAAGGTCCAAAAAGTGGCCTAAACTCTGGCTCAACAACACATTCCTTCTTTCTTTCTTTTTTTTTTTTCTTTTTCTTCCTTTCTTTCTTTTTTTTGCAGATTAACCCAAGAAGAAAACAAAGTGGATTTTCATTAACCTCCTACCGCACAAACACGATGGATTTTCACGAGAATGGCTGTTTTGTATCCAAAAATTCCCTTTAAAAACCTCTCTATAGTTCTTTACTCACACTGTATATTATGTCATACAATAAAAATAAAATTTATAAACTAAAAAATTCCCATTTTATAGTTTAAACCGTAAAATACAAACTGTTTTGTACTATTAGATACGGGTATACAACCCCTACCATTAGGTAACTCATCCATCTAAACTATGTAATGCAACTAGACTGCACCATACTTTCTGTTGTAAAATAAAAGAATAAAAATCTATTTTAGTTTAAGTTTCTATGATGTGTAAATTTTGCTTCTAGTTCTGGACTAAAACTATACTTGTCACTCCAATTGCATAGCATCAATTCTTAATTAATTAGTGGAATTGTGGTGTATGCAGCAATTGAGTTTTTAAAACACCATGGCATAGTTTATTATATGAGTGAAAATTGAAGTCACCTTAAAAGATTTTGTACTGAGTATATAGAAGAATACGGAAGCTGGAGAAGCATATGCATACCTTCAATTAATAATTATAGGATTGCAGTACTTTCTCTTTTGCCTTCTTGCTCTTCTCAGGATTCGATCAGCCTGTTGCTTTGCTTCGTGCAATGAATTGATTGTTGTATCTACAAAGGAAACAGACAAACAGATTATGCTTGGAACATTATTTATAGCAGTAAATGTCAACCAAGAATTTTTTTTTTCTGCAGTTCATGGTGCAATTAAGAAAATTGCATGCTTTCCAATTAGCATTTTCCTGGATACTTTAAAAACTGAATAAAGTTATTTAGGGGTGCCTAATTTTATGTTGATTGTGAGCCAATACTCTACTAGAAAAGCCCTAAAATTTGTCAAAAGAGCCAAAATATCTGAACCATGGAGTCTTTTTTACAAACATTAGAATGAGCAACAATGACAGGAAAGCAATCCTACATTGTTTGGTAAGTACCTCGTTCCTTCCCACCAAGAAAGCAGGAAAAGCCTTCATCAATTTCTTCATTTGATTCAATTGTAACTCTACATTCTCTTCCCTGCATCAGTTCTCCATATGAATGGACACAAAACATTTAATGCAGCTATTTCTAAAATAGAAAAGGAAAGAATGCAGCAGACAATGTACAAATATAGTGACAAGTGGGTTTAGAATTTCAGTTGGTCCAACTCCAAGTATCATGCCAGTAACCACCTTGGAATGTCCAAATACGCCAATATTTCTCCTCCAGAGAGCATGTAAGGACATGAGCAGATGCTTAATTTTATTTTACTACTTTGTATATTCAAGCAAGGGGTAAAGTAAAATAAGGGACTGAAGAACTACCTGTTGAGTGCAAGAAACTCCTTTCTTTTTGTTCTCCTTAAAGGATGACCTTCTAGTAAACATAGATTGTTCTGCTTTTACTAAGTTCCAACCTCCCATTTCTGTTTTTGGAGGTAGCACTGATTGAACATGAGCCTTAGAATGCATGGCTGGACTGGAATCACGATAGATCAGTTAGATTTTTCAGAAGAATAACCATAAATTAAATTACCAGTATCTATCACCACAACAACAACTTTATCTCAAAATTTCCAACGAAAGCTGTAAAGCACATTTGATTGTATTGCACCAAGGGCTGTGACAAAGCAGAAAACCATTCTAAATGAGTGTGACAATGACGACAAAACAGAATGCTGGATGCTACATACTTCTTGAGGGGCTGTTGCTTTCTCTCTGAAGTATCACAAGAGCCAGTATACTGCACATTTAGCATGAGGAATTTTTTACCTGATTTCATAATATTTGGCTACAAGGTTTTTTTATGAGAATAATAGAGCACCTTAAGTGGAATAGCAGCAGCCACTGAGCTGTTTTGCTTGAGAGTCTTCAGGCTGCCAAGAATTGCCTGCAAGGTAACTAAATGATGTAGAGAAAGCCCCTTTTTTGCTAACTGACAAACATATGGGAATCTAAAACAGAAAGTACAGTCAAGTTAACAGAAAGCTGTAAATAGATGCCATCGTGGGAAAAAAGGGAAGGATGAGCTTTGAAAATGCAGTTTCCATTTCCTATGAAGCCAGAAAAAGGAAATATGGCATTTAAATTTGAATGTTGCTTGTTCTGGGATTCCATGACAATTGAATACCTGTATTTCTTTAGTGAAGAAGTTTTGAAGCTTATTTTGTAATTTGAATAGAGAGGCTTCAATCTGTGTTGGTAAGGTTGAAAGCAGCAAGAAGATCTGCTCTAGCTTATCAAGACACATACGGTTGCTCAGTTGATCTGATATAGATTTCATGACTCCATCAAGGTTTGTTTTGATATCTTCAAGTCCCTTGATCTGTTTACCATATGTGACAACTGCATTACATATTCTTTGGCACTCTAGCAATTACGCAAACCAATTAAAAATCAAATCGCCAGCGAGTGATGCTGTTAGCCTGTTACCATTAGCTGCAGTGAGGCATCCTCAGAAATCAACCTCTGTCGTATTCCATCTGCTGAAATAAATTTGATAAGAAACTCTATTAACTAATAGATTCTACATAATTCAAAAATTTTATGCACTAGGTAACAAAACAACTTATCATTCTTCAGTTCAAGCTCTATCTCAGACCCTTACAAAATCTAAATGAAGGACATTCATTATAAGATGCTGACAGGATGACAAGACTACAGTCTGAGATAACTCACTTTCCAGCAGTAGTTCCTTTGTTCCTTTGTTTACTTGCATTACATCACTCTGAACTGAATCCAAGATCATTCCAAACCTATTTATTGAAGTGCCAATCATTCCTAGCCGATGCTCAAGTTCTTCACTAATTTGATCTGCTCAAACAAATAAAAGATTTAATGAATTGCATAAACAAAATAGTAATATTCTTTTGTTGTTTTTGGGACAAGACCTAACATCTATGTTCTGAAGCAGATGATGCATTCCATTTGCGCATTTGATTGGCTGAAGACCTTGAAATTGGCATTTGATTCTCTTCTCTTGTGGTGTTGATCTGAGGCAAGCAAGAAGCCTTCTTCACAGAATTCTCCCGTTCTTGAGAACCAAATCTCTACAAAGGTGAGGAGCACAAAATTAACGAAGTTTAATTCCTCTCTTTTCCTTCAATTTAAACTAAATGCCTAAAAAACAAAGCGGAAAATGAAGTCAACCAGATCTGTTGTCAAAACTTCATCAAATGAATTCTGAGAGATCTGAGAAAAGAAGGCAGGTTGAGGTGAAAATCCCAGTGAAAAAGATTGTTGCGATGGCTGCGATCTAAGCTGTGATGCTTGCGGCCCACTTGGTACTGTGTTTGATCTCCTTCATGTTGTTAAACACAGGAAACAATAGAATGTAAGTAGATCACGTACATCTACATCCTACACAGATTAAACTGAAATCAAGGCTGAATTGAGAGATTCAAAAATTCTAAACTCTTTTTACTAATAATTATATCCAAACGGAGCTACTGAAATACAGCAGAAAGAATTCAAGTTCTGCAGGACCAATATCATCAAAAATAAATAAATAAATAAATAAATAAAAGACGTGTTTCCAGGATCATCAGAAACTGGAAATTTTAAATCTCAATGGATTTAATTTCGAATCATTGTAATTAGAACATAGAACTGAAGTTCCTTCAATTTAAATTCGGAACGAACAGTTTAGTTCTTAAGATGCAAAATATGTGTAAGATTAATATATTCGAAAAATTTTCTTCGCAACCAAACGGATCTGAACGAGAAATCAAAAGGCAAGTCAATCTCCTTCAAATATCTACCAAAAATAAACAAAAATGAACTTAAATTTTAGGTTTCGAGGAACGGAATCTCCTTATCATTCTTTCCAGGCGATTTTTCTCGAGAAACAAACGGAAAATGATGGAGAAGCAAAATCAAACCTGGAGTGAGGGGGAAGGACGGAGATGGAACTGAGATCGCAGGCTTTGTTGATCTTCAATTTCATTCTGAACTATTCGGATGGATCTTGAGCCCTTTGAGATGCCGAACTGAAACGCTATTCTGAAATTTTTGAATTTAAGGGAGCAAGACTGCCAGAGAGAATTATCAGTTGTGATTATGACTTGCGAGCGAAAAAGGGTGGGAGAGGTGTGAGGGCTTATCATATGCGGATGGCGGGAAATTGTTCGGGTTTTTAGAAAAATGACCCATGATCCAAAAAAGTTATCTGAGCAAGCCCCAATAGAAAGCCCAATTGTTATTGGACTTTTGATCCAAGGAGCTGGATATTTAGATCAATTACTTGACTAGAGATGAAATTTATTTATTTATTTATGAAATAATATTATAATCAAGAAAAATATTAAAGGTTTTTATTTTACTATTATTTATTGAATTTCATTTTAATTAAGCTCTCTAGATTTATAAAATGAATTAAGTTTAATTTTTTGGTAAATTTTAAATATATTATTAATTAGGTGTAATTACGGAAAGTGAAATATGAAATTTTAAATACTTACTACATATGCTTTTTTTTTTTTAATACCAAACGATGGGTTATAACAGGATGAAATCCCATCTGTTTCAATGATAAAATTTTTAATTTTTAATTTTTAATTTTTAACTATTTAAAATACTTTCTCATGAGCTTACGCACACATATATTGATAGTATCTTAATTAGGACAGCTAAAAGAGGTATACAAATGGAAGCAAATCAATATGACAGGTTGCTCGTTTGGCTAGCAATCAGTTTGCTTTGTAACTTATTAAATAAGTTTTGATTATTTTAAATTTTAAAGAGGCCACTGAGAAGTATTTCTTTTTAAGTAATAATAAGAGTTTTTTTAATTCTCCTAAGGCAAAGATAATAATATTTTTTAAAATATTATTTATCATTGAAAAAATAAAATTTAATTTTTATTTAATCAATAAATTAATTAAAATGATTTATACAACAATTATGATAAAATTAATGTCACTTTCAACTTAAATTAATGTAAAAAAAAGTATATATATTTTTAAATATTTGATCATACGGTTGGCTCAAACTGTTACTTTAAGAGAAAAGGATATGAAACTTACAAAAGTAACTAAAGTCACTCGGCTCAAAGGGTCAGGTTCATAATAAAAAGTATATTAACATAAAAAAATTATAAAAAAAATATATTAATTAATCATTAATTTGTACTTTAAGAACATATATTAAGAAATCCTAATAATAAATAATGACATGGAGAATGCATTTATCTGGTCTCTTGAAAATGTTTGTTTTTGTGCCTTTGTGGTAGACATGACGTTAAATTGTGAAACTAACGTATGAAGATTAAACGTGTTTGGTCAGAAGGGAGGAAAGGGAATAGGAGAGTTTTTTAATCAATTAAAAAAAACCATCTTTTTTTTTATTTTTTCGCAAATCAAACATACTACAATATTTTTATCAAAAGTTTCATATTCTTTTTTAAAATATATATATATCTAGATTTATTTCATTACCAATATTTATGGGGTGTCTGAATTAATGTTTTGATATAACTAATAATTAATAATTAATATTCATTAATACCTATAATTCAAAATATATAAACTATTTTATTAAGATTAACAGTTAATAATTATTCTCTGACCTCTAAATGATTTAGGTGTGAAATCATATATTTACTAACAATGATAACATCACAACAACCACTATTGAAGAGTGTTGTTACTCCAACAATACTTCCACGAAGCGAGATCTTATAGATTTCAAGTTCTACATAATTACAACTTGTATTGTACTGCATATCACAAGCGTGCCATGAGTTATAACATCAACTTTATTTACTTATGATTGCATATATCAAAGTCTATCAACTAATCAACCCCCTATTCCACCAAGTACATATTCAAATCTCACAAACCACGTAATCTCATAACAATATGTGTCGCTTCCCTAATTCTGATACCATTAAAATACGGACAAGGGAAAAGGCAAAGTAGAATATGCGGATATACCAAAAATGCTTCCATCAATACTAGCTAATTAGTTGCATTTACCCAACCAATGATGGAAAAGTAAGTGTATATAAATACATGAATGATGCTATTGCTGCCGAATGCACCCATTTTGCCGACAGAAGGCCGAGTGGACGTGGCACAAGAGAGGGCGTAACTAAATCCTAAGTCCTTAAGTTTATAGAATCATAACTTTTTAAGCTCTTGAATTTAAAAGACATCATTTAAGTCTTTGAAATTTAACAAAATTATTTTAATTTAGGACATTGAGTTCTAGATTTTTTAGGGTTTAAATGATTGTAATGTTAAGGTTTAATATTTAATGTGTTAGGCTTTATATTATTATTTTTTTGTATCCAAGGTTTAAAGTAAATTTTTTAGAGTTTAGTATTTAGAGCATTAGGGTTTAAATTTTTTAACATTCAATATTTTAGAGTATTAATGTTTAGATTTTTTACAATTCAATCATTTCAATGTTTATAGTGTGAGGATTTATATTTTTTAAAATAAATATTTATATTGTTAGGGTCTAAATTTTTTAAGTTTAGTATTTTGAGTATTAAATTTTATTATAATTATATGATTTAGTATTTAGAGTTTAAGGTATAGCATTTATTATTTCCGGGTTATGATTTCAATCAAAAATTAATTAAGAATAAATAATTAGAAAAAAAAAAAACCTAGGAAGGACTAAAGAGTAGAAATTTATTGTGAGAGAAGAAAAAAATGAAATTGTGTTGGTCGCCCATCTTCGGGGAACCTTCCATCCCTACAGCAGCCCTTATGTACATTAGTTAACATAATTTTATTTTATTTTACGATTTAATATATACTATATTATAAAATAAAATTTATTATACTTGCACTTTTGGTTCAATGACGTCAAGTCATATTTAAGTGTATTTTTTTTAACAACAGTTTGAATCCGGTCTCTTGTAAAATTATTTTTAAAAAAATATTATAAAATAAAAATTATTAAATGTGAAAATATCTTTTAATATTAATGTTATTTTCTCTTATCATATGCAATTTGATATAGTGTAAACTGTCTTTTTTGAATTAACATTTGTGTTTAATATATTAATAAATTAATTTTAGCTGGTTTAATTAGAAGGACTTAGTAGTTATTTTTTCACTCAAATTAAAAAAGAAATTAAGAAATACAGTACTGTTTAAAGCTCTAATATTGATAAATTTTAAGAATTTGTTTAATCTGTATAATAAAAACACAAGTTAAAAATAATTTTTTATTATAAATTTATATAAAAAATATAAAAATAAATATTAATCTTAATATTATTATGATATAAATAAATTAAATTAAACAATTAATAAAATTAAATATTACTTTTCACCTTTTTAAAATTCTTAACCCCTCTACAGTAAAGTTTGACTTTAATTATCCCTTTTTTAGTTCATAAAAAAAAAATTGTTTTTCCCCCTCCTTATTACCAACACCAAACAAGATTGGTTGGAAAGCCTCCTCCCACGTTTTTTTTGCGCGAACTGGGGTCCCCGCATCTTGCTGGTACTGGTTTATCCGTGGAGGCTAAAAGCTTCATCTGGAAGTAAGCGAAATTCGAAGACGGGTCATCCGGAGCCCGCCATTGAAACTGACGTTGTCTTCTTCTTCTTCTTCTTCTTCTTCTTCGTTCTCATTGGATTTCACCTGTGTTCGAGACCGTAGGCTACTTTACGGTGAAGTTCGTTACCTCAGGATTCCCGAAATAAGCTCGATGTGACGGTTTCCGATCCGAGTAGGTCTGCCGAGGAAGAAAGCAGTTCTCCAGAGACCAGTAGCAGCTGAAACCGATTTCTGAGAGATTTTGGCGAACTTGTGGGAAGGGGAGACGGGAGAGTACCGAGATTGGATTTTGACGATTGATGTCACTTAGTGAAAAATGGAAAAGGAATTGGGTTGAGAGGGAGTAATCATGGAGTGGAACATTGCTGTTTTGTAGATTTTTGTGTTTGAACACGCCACCATGGCCTTGGTGAGTCCGGTTCCAGCAGTCACCCGACAGGTGTCCCGGGTTGTAATCGGTGGAGTTCGAGCACCGGAAATCATGGCGAGCAGGGGAGAAATTGTGGAAGAATCGGTGGCCCTTGTAAATGAAGATAAAATTTTCGTTGCACTAGGGAATGAAATTGCAAAGAACAAATCCGTCCTTTATTGGGCAATTGAGAATTCGGAAGGGAAGAGATTATGCATTATTCATGTTCACCAGCGGGCTCAGAGGATTCCAGTGAGTAAGTCTCTTAAGTATGTCCTGTTTGTTTCATCTTTTATGCATTTATGTTTATGGAGTTGAAATCTTGAGGTTTTATGGAACTTTCAGGTTTTTTTTTTTTTTTCTCCTTTGGTAAGGGTTTATGGCTGAATTTGTTGTATTCACTTATTGAGAAAATATAGATTTTTTGACGTTTATTCTTTGTGGGTTTGTAGTGGGTTCCAAATTTCCTGTAAGTTCACTCAAGGAACAGCTAGTCAGGGCATACTGGGAAACTGAAAGGCAGAATATGCTTAGGAATTTGGATCACTACCTTGATATTTGTTCTCAAGCAAGGGTATTAGTTTCTTCTTTATTTCCATTTTAGTTGTTCAGATTATAATGCTTATGGGAGAATTCTGTATTCTGAATAATAAGATTTTTTTTTTTTTTAATCATCAATACAGAGTTAGATGCTTAGTTTGGCAATCATTATTCAGTTAGTTTTCAAAAATAAAGCTCCTCTCTTAAGTTGATAGATTCTTTTCTCTAATACCAAATTGTTACTGTTGGGAAATTTTTATTTAGATGCAGGCAGAGAGAGATTATATTGAAGGGGATAGTATAGAAAGGGGGATTTTGGAACTCATCTCTAAGCATGGGATCAAGAAGCTTGTTATGGGAGCAGCTGCAGATAAATACTATTCAAGGTATGAAAGGCAGTAGCTCTTTGGATGCTAAAGTTTGCCTTTTTATACAAAGTTCAGAAGATATCACATTATGACTTACCCTAGTGCTTTGACATTTTCAGGAAAATGAAGGACCTCAAGTCGAAGAAAGCAATCTTTGTGCGCGAACAGGCTCCTGCTTCTTGTAATATATTCTTTATTTGCAAGAGGAACCTCATCCATCAAAGGTAAGGGTGACTGCAATGCATATCTAAACCTCAAGCCTGAAGAAGCTTCTAAATTATTGACACCACCTACAATGTGGTGCAACAGTGTCAATTTACTGAATACATGTTACACATGTAAATAAATGGTATAAATTCAATGTGGTACTTGAATTTGATTATTGTAATGACAACTGCAAATTACATTTCATAGGGAAGGTACTCTAAATGGAAGTGATACAGAGTTGCCATCTCCAGTGTTCCAGGCAGGTCCAACCATTGAAGCTGGGGAAAATAATCACAATGGATTAGAATCTACTTCTCTGAGTCTGTTAGAAGAGGAACTTCATCAGTCATCTCCTTCCAGTGTACTGGTATGAGCAGAACTTTCATTTGTGAATCAACTTTGCTTAGGCAGAAGGGTTTTTAAGAAATTGAGCTTGCTCATTCAGCTTTTAATTTCTTTTTATAACATTCTTAAAAGTTTTTAATGGTTGACTGATTCTAGAATGACTCAAGCGTGGATGCTGGGTTGTATGATCAAACAATGACAGAAGCAGCAAACTCATGTAGAGAAGCATGCAAAGAGGCACTCAGTCGTTCAAAAGCCGAGAAAGATGCTATTGAGGTCATTTGCATGGTATGGTCATTGCTGTCCGTCATTCATAACCTCCCCTCCCTTCATATTTCCCTAAAGAAAACTCATCTCTGCTTCTCTGTGGGGTTGATGCCTTTTCAAGTGGCTAAAATACATTGAAAAGTTCAGTATATTTTTTTGGTTTTGTAGATAGTTAAACATTAATAATTGATCTCTTACCATGATGAAAGGTGATGGTCCATATATCAGCTGATTGTGCTTTATTGTCCTGTCAGATGACTATTCAGATGGCAAATTGAATGAGCTTAAGAGTGTATATGTATCATTTTCCTGATAATTCTTTATTGTTCAGTTGGTCTTTAAAATATCTAACCTAGACCTAAAGAATCTTCTACTGGTTTCCCTGCAATGTACTTGGGAACTTTCTAAAAAATTAAAGTTGATGATATGCTGGACATGAACTTAAGAACAATTATCATCTTACTTGGATTGCATGACATGGGTGCCATTTGCAGGTTAAAGCATCAGAAGCCCAGTACTTAGAGGAGTTAAAACGGAGGAAAGAAACTGAGGAAGCATTAAAAAAAGTGAAGGAGAAATTTGATAAGATAAAGAATGAGCGAGATGAAGTGATAGAAGCACTACGAGTTGCGTCAAATCAGACATCATTGCTGAAGAACCAAATAGCAGAACCTGAGCAGATGGTTAAGGAGTTGGAAGAAAAGGTAATCTCAGCTGTGCAACTGTTGCAAAATTACAAAAAAGAAAGAGATGAGCTGCAGATAGAGCGAGACAATGCACTCAAAGAAGCAGAAGAGCTGAGGAAAAGTCAAGCAGAGACCTCAAGTGTAGACGTGCATCAGTTTGCCACCCTGTTCTCTTTCTCAGATATTGAGGCAGCAACCAACAATTTTGATCCCTCTCTGAAGATTGGGGAAGGGGGATATGGGAGCATTTATAAGGGTCTCTTGCATCACACTCAGGTGGCTGTAAAGATGTTGAATTCAGACAGTGTGCAAGGCCCATCAGAATTTCAACAGGAGGTATGGTTCCATAAAATCATTTTTCATGTTGCATTGAGTTGTTCCAATTATTTATGAGTCCATAAAATCTTGTTTCATAATTTTGCTACTGCAGGCATGAATGACATTTTTTGGTAATATTTCAGGTTGATATTTTGAGCAAGATGAGGCATCACAATATTGTCACTCTACTCGGAACCTGTCCTGAAGCTTGGATACTTATTTATGAATATCTTCCCAATGGAAGCCTTGAAGACCGACTTAGATGCAAGGATAATTCTCCTCCTTTGCCATGGCAAACAAGAATCCGCATAGCTACCGAGTTATGTTCTGTCCTTATCTTTCTTCATTCTTGCAAGCCTCAAGGAATCGTGCATGGGGATTTAAAACCTGCAAACATTCTTCTTGATCCCAACTTTGTGACTAAGCTCAGTGATTTTGGACTCTGTCGGCTTCTAAGTGACAAATCAGTAGTCTGCAAAACATCTCCTAAGGGAACTTTTGGATACCTAGATCCAGAGTTCTATGCAACAGGAGAACTTACTCCAAAGTCAGATGTTTACTCATTTGGAATTATATTATTACAACTGTTAACTGGGCGTGTTGCCCGAGGTATAGCCAAGGAAGTGCAGTATGCAATTGATACAAAAAGGTTGAAAAACCTTTTGGACCCTTCAGCTGGAAACTGGCCATTTGTAAAAGCTGAGCAATTGGCTAACCTGGCACTGAGCTGCTGTCAGATGGACCGAAAGAACCGACCAGACCTTGAGACAGAGGTTTGGACAGTACTTGAGCCAATGAGGGCCTCGTGTGGAGGCTTTTCATATTCTGGTTTGGGTTCTGAACTGCAAGTTCAACCTCCTACCTATTTCATCTGTCCCATTTTCCAGGTAAACTCATCCATGCCAATTGTAACTTTTTTATACTTCGAATGACGTTTCTGCAGTGATTGATTAAAAATAATATGAAGACAGACTAGGTAAAGTAGAGAATTTTTAAACTGAATATTATGACTTGTATAAGCCAAAAGATGTTCTTACTTGATAGTTGACTTGGCACTTTTGGTCAATATTGTAGTGGAATTCTGGGAATCGGTAGCACACACTGAACTTCTCCTCTCATATAAAGAGCTCTTTACACCATTAACCAACTTCATAGCCAAGTAAACTTCATATATCTATTTGTTTAAATTTGCAGGAGATCATGCAAGATCCTCATCTAGCAGCAGATGGTTACACTTATGAAGCCAAGGCTATAAAAGGATGGCTGGACAGCGATCACGACACATCACCCATGACAGATCTTCAGCTTTCACACCGTGAAATCATCCCCAACCTTGCTCTTCGCTCTGCAATCAGGGAATGGCTGCAGCAACACTGAAAGGGATCAGCTACCATTTAGCTTCTCCAAACAACACGTTTTTCATAGTAATACAAAGAAAACAAGACAAAAAGTTGTCAATTCCTCTTTCCCATTTCTTCTTTCTTTATATTTTCATGTATTTCTTCATGATGTTACTGTCACATAGTGTACATAAAGTTCGAATGTATTAGTACATGTTAGTATGTTAAAGGAAAAATTTTTCTCCATAACTGGGGTACTTGTTCTTTCCGTGTGGGTCACGCACTGTAACAATCATTGAAATTTGCAACTGACCAATTTGTTTTGTCTTCCTTTATCTTTTCTCTATAGAAAAAAAGCCAAAAGACTGAAAAAAGAAATTGTCATTGACTTGGAAAACTTGTCTTGGAAGTTGTCATATGCATAAAAAGAAAGGGAATTGTCTGTTTTCTCTCGCCAGTTGCCACTGAAATTTCACAATCGTTGTTAGCAGGAAGGATCGAGTTTGACAGGGACGGCAGAGGGAGTCATGGAACCGATGATCGGCGATGATACTGTGTGCATTGCAGTAGGAAGAGAAATAGAAGAAAGCAAGCTCACTTTGTGGTGGGCATTGCGCAGATTTCCGCTCAAAAAATTTTGCATTCTTCATGTTCATCAGCGTGCTAAGGCGATCCCCTCGGGTATGTCCTCTCTGCTCGCTATTTGATAATTGACTTTCTGTTGTTCTGAATTCTTTTGGGTTCTCAGTGAATTTCTTTGACATGGTCTAGTTTCTTTTCCTTTTTCATCTCCCATTAATATGCAGTAACTGGGGTCTCCCGAGCGAGCAGTGTTAAACAAGATGAGCTGAGGATGGTAAATGAGATTATACATAATGTCATGGATGATTACCTTCTCATTTGTCGACAAGTAGCGGTAGTCTTTCTTCTCTAGAATCCTTTGCTCAGTTGATTTTAATGGCTTTTAAACCCAAGGGAAGAGTTGTTTTAGCTCTTTTAAGAGACTAGTAGTCTCGAGTATATGTTAATTTACTTATCATGGATTTATGATTTCTATGTAATATGTGGAATGATTGCAACTCGGTGATGCTGATGCTCCATATGAATTGTGGGGGGTTATGAACCTCGAATTGCAATTTTCCAGCTATGGTCTAGAATTTACATGCTTCTTTTGAATACAGGCTTAGAAAACACATCAAGTCTTCACCTTTGGAAATTCAATTTCAAGGAACACATGGTTTAATGCCAAAAAAAAAAAAAAGGAACACATGCTTTCCTTTGGGAGATTTATTTCTAGGATAGGAAGTGAAGAAACTACATTGCTTTCTCCCCAGAGACTTGTTTCAAGATCCTTTCAGGAGTCAATTCTTGAAAGTGGGCTTAAATCCCCCACTCTCCTCGGTGCCCCCCTTTTAAAACATGGACCTAAAGTCATTTATTTTAGCATTTTCTGTGTTTTCATGTAGGTGCATGCCAAAAAATTGCATGTTGAGATGGATGATGTGGCAAAGGGTATTGTGGAACTTGTTCATCGGCACAAAATCAAGATGCTTGTCATGGGAGCAGCAGCAAACAAGCATTATTCAGAGTACAAAAACTTGTGAAATATGCTCAATTTACCTGGCATTCATGATCTTAGCTGTTTAATGCTTTGCACTCAAATGCTGAGATTACTTATGCAACTGCCTTAACATTGCAGGGGAATGACTTATCTGAAGTCTGAGAAAGCCTTGTATGTGGAGCAACACGTTCCTCCTTATTGTCAAATTTGGTTTATTTGCAGTGGGATTCTCATCCACACAAGGTATGCTTAACAAGTGTCATTGGAACTTTGAGGTACATAGTTCAAATAGAGAGAAGCTTAATATTGATAGTAGCACCTGCCTACGGGTGCAGAAACGAAATTTTTTTGAAACCAATCAAAGGGCTGATGCATTGTGATTGCATCATAATATTTCCATATTGCTGACATTTTTGGCTTTTATGCAGGCCAATCTTTGTGGCTGGACCATCAAACCCACAGAGTAGTTTGAGTTCCAGTTATCTGACAGACTCTAGTGAATTGGCCAGCAGCTCAGATTTGACTGTGTTTGAGGGAGTAGAGGAGAGCCAATGTGGGCAGGATCCTTATGTGCTACTGCTTCAGTCTGGAAGGAATCTTGATCATTTATCAATGCCTGTATGTACTGGTGCAGATTAGGATTTCAAACTTCTATGCACATAATGGTTCCATGACAGTCCTTTATTATTGATAAACTGAACCTAGATAAATCAAAGCCTTTGAAATTGAACTATTTGCTGATATTCAATAGCGTTCTTTGTACTTGGCAGGAAGGAAGCAGTAATGGTCAACTCAATGATCAACTTGAACAAGCACTATTAGAGGCTGAAAAAGCAAATCAAGAAGCATTGGAAGAGTTGGTCAAGTGTATGAGAGCTGAAAAAACTGCCCTTCATGCCATTCGCAGCCAGGTAATATCCTTTCCAGCTCTTCTTTCCTCTCCTTCTTTGGAAATGTCTCTGCTTTATATATTTTTCTTTTCAAAGGTAAGGTGTTTTTGTTGGGAATTATCTAAACGGTAGTCACTCACCTAACTAAAACCATTTACTTATAGGCTAGTAAATTGGAAAGGTTACATGCTGAAGAGTTGAGATGCAGGAGACAAGCTGAGGATGAAGTTGAAAAATTAAAGCAGCAGAGAGATGAAGAAAAATTAATTGCACTGGAACAAAAATCAAAGATATCATCTCTTCTGCAGCAGTTAGAACTTTGCCAGAAAGAACGAGATGACTTGAAGGTAAAGCTTGAGAATGCTCAGCAGTTAACTGACCAGATTTCAAGAAGCCAAGAGGAAGGGACCTCAGGCATAGATGTGCAGCAAAGCTGTACTGAGTTCTCTGTCTCAGACATTCAGCGAGCAACTGATTACTGTGACCCATCCTTGAAGCTTGGGAAAGGAACCTATGGGAGCATTTATAAGGGTTTCCTTAATTACACCCAAGTGGCTATAAAGGTGCTCCCTCCAAATAGATCACAAGGCAACTCCAAATTTCAGCAGGAGGTAAGCTAGTTGTTGTATTTCAATTCATATGAAAATTGAGCATCATAGCCTACTCTGAACCATGTGAAAATTAAGCATGTGTGTTTCAACACAAGGCTTTTATTCAACTCAAAACCAATTGGCAATAGGTGGAGCAGCCTTCCTTCTATTTAGGTCACATGTTCCTTTGTTATCTCTTTGATGTGGGATTTTCCCACTCAATATGACTATTTCTTAGATTTTCCTCCCAAAATATATATTCATCAGATATAAATGCATACCTATAATACTAAAATTGAAATTAAAGGTCACACCTGCTTGTTTCAGGTTGACATTTTGAGCAAGTTGAGGCACCCAAATGTGGTTACACTTATTGGAGTCTGCCCTGAAATTTCAGCTTTCATCTATGAATATCTCCCTAACGGAAGTCTAAAAGAGCGACTGAGCTGTAAGGATAACTCTCCCCCACTGACATGGAAAACTCGAATCCATATAGCTACTGATTTATGCTCTATCCTCGTGTTTCTACATTCTAGTAGACCTCATAGGATTGTGCATGGTAACTTAAGGCCTAGAAATATTCTCCTTGATGCTAACTTTGTCTGCAAGCTCAGTGAGATTGGACTCCCTCCTCTTGAAAATTCAAGCACCATGACAAGTGGCACATCTCCTTATCTTGATCCTGAGATTCATACGACAGGAATATTGTCTCATAGCTCGGACATATACTCCTTTGGCATTATATTATTACAGTTAATGACTGGGAGGTCACCCCGAAGTATAGCACAAGTTGTGCAAGATGCAATAAATACAGGAAATCTGAGTAACTTAGTGGATTCCTCAGCTGGAGGCTGGCCATATGTCCAAGCTGAACAGTTGACTCGCTTGGCACAGTTTGCTCGTTTGGCTTTGAGATGCTGTGATTTTAACAGAAGCCGTCGACCTGACCTCGCAACAGAGGTGCTGCCGGTGCTTGAGCAAATGAGAGCTGCTTGTGCAGCATTACCATCCTACCATGCTAATTTTGAAGAGAATCAACAACCTCCATCCTATTTCCTGTGTCCCATCCTCCAGGTTTGGTCCATTCTCCTCCATTAGTTCTTTTAATGTCTTTCTGAGTGCCTTATCTGCGGAGACTAAATTTTGCAGTCTTAAAATTTACTCAAGTAACCAACTAAATATCCCCGTCAGTGGCACTCACAATTCCAGGTTTTCGGTTGTCTCATGTGCATAATTCTTCATACACCCTGAGCACTCTAGACTCTAGAGTTCCACTTGCTGCATTCCTGAATAAACAAGCAGAGAGGGAATATTTTGGAGGTCCTTGGACGTAAAGAAAAGGGGAAAAGAGCACATTATATTGCGCAGATTCATTGTTCTTACCAGCCAGTAAACCTTCATTTAGTCAAATGCATATCATGAATGTGGCTCTTTCCTTTTGACCTGAATGAACAAAGCTCATGTCTGACATTTTTTTCCTACATTTGATTTGTGTTAGAGAAAGCATATTCAGTATATTTCCTTGCACTTGCAGGAAGTCATGAGAGAGCCGCATATAGCAGCAGACGGGCATACATACGAAAAAGAAGCATTGTTAGAATGGCTGGGGAGTGGCCATGACACATCCCCCATGACCAACATTAGGCTTGCAAACCGCAATCTTATCCCAAACCATACTCTTCGTTCTGCAATTCAGGAGTGGTTGCAGGATAATCCCCACCATTGATACATTCTTGGCATCAGGACCGTTTCCCCCTTTTAGTTCTCGATGCTGTCTTGTCTATATAAGCTACAAATATCGCCATGGATTCTCAGGTACCCACATGGTATGTTATTCAGGAGTGTTTATTGAAGGTAAATATTCTTGCTTGGTATTGTACTGTTACATTCAATAGTATGTGTGATTATTATCACACTTGTTATGAAACACAGTACTACATAAATTAAAAAATTATATATTATGAAATATATTTTTGAGTGTTTTGGGAGTAAAATTGTGATTTGTAAATGTGAATTTGTGAGAGTTTTGCCTCCCTGAAGTTACGGTTTAACATTTTGACATTAGGACTCAGGTAAGTTTATTTTTAGCTTCTCACTTTTTAAAAGTTTTAGTCTTTATTTTATATTATAGCATTTTTAACTCTTCATCTTACTAGATTTATAGGTTTTAGTTTCTCACCTTATATTATAACATTTTTAGTCCATCACTTTTTAAAATTAAAGAAAATAACTCTCGTTTTGTAACATTTTATTAGTTTTGTTAGTTAACTATTAACTCTATTAATTATTAATTGATTGTTAGTCAATTATTAACTATAAAAAATCTTCTTTCAACTAATAGAGTTAACAGAATTAATTTTATAATGTTTCATTAATTCTATTAATTAGTTATTAATTGATTATTAATTGATAAAATTTTATTTTTACCTAATAAGATTTACCCTAAGTATAAAATAAGAGTTATTTTTTTTAATTTTAACAGGTAAAAAAATTAAAACCTATAAAAATTTAATAAGATGATGAATTAAAAATATGTAAAACGGTAAAAAAACCTTGGTAAGGTGAGGGCTTAAAATTGGTTTTTGCCTTGGACTCAGAAGTTAGGACTGGATAAGATTTGCGATGGGATGGGCCATGGACCAGGGGATGCTATGCTTCACACGTGTGTATACAACAATTAAAATTGTACGCGTGTGTTTTCGCAGGGCATAAAATTGACATTTGGTTTAGGCTACCAAACTATTAAATTTTTATTATAAAAATAATTAATAACAATTAAAATAATTAATATTTATTACTGAGTTAATCCATTTTGTACCTTCAACCCTAAGAACATAAGATAAG